ACACCTGTAAATAATATGAAGTATTGTTTTGCAGGTTTTTACATTTTATGAGAAGAATATCACATAAGCTTCTTTGGGGCTTTGTTCAAAATTATTTTGGATTTATTCATATTGTATTATGTAGCTCTCATTAATTCAACTGCTGAATTCTGCTTCACTGTGCAAATATACGACTTATTTATCCTTTCTCCTATTGATGGTCATTTATATTATTGCCACTTGATTACTGCAAAGCACATTCTTGAATACGTCTCTGCATAAATTTAAGTGCAAGTATTTCTCTAGGCTATATACTGTAGAAGATAATTCATGTTTTGTTTTAATTCTCTATTTTATTTGCAAGAATATTTTCTGCAAGGAGGAGGGCTTTCAGATGTTTTTATTCAGTGCGAGGATTAACAATATTTCTATGCTGAGGTAATTATAAGAAAAATGAGGTTATGGCCAGCAGGTTATTTATACAAAGTTTGTAAACAAATTGAACCTACTATCACAACTCTAAATAAATAAACAAATTTTATGCAAAAAATATTTTTGAAAGTTTCCTTTCTATTATCTCATATTGACAGGTAACAATAATTAGAGGACAATATTAAATATAAATGGAAGACTGCTATAAGAATGTGTCTTTGCTCTTCTGAGTAAACACTTAAGTATATTTAACCTGGGTTTTATGGTAAGTACAATGTAAATATTCCCTGATTTTTAAAAAGATCTTTCTAAACATATTTGCATTCCTCAAAGTATTTCTGACAGTCTTAGAAAGCTTTTTCATTACATCCTATTCTGACTTATGGCTAATAGTTTCAGCTACAACTTCAGACAAGTCTGAATTGCACTAATCGAGGCTTATAATGATTTTATTTCACAATACCTAGATGTGGATTTGCTGGGTTTCAGGGTATTAAGCATCTCAGCTTTACTATGTTGCCAAATGCTCTCCAAAGTAGATCACTGGTTTATACCTGATGAGCACTTGCATAGGATGCTCCACATCTTCATCAACACTTTGTGTTGTCAGACAAGTGTGATGTTAAGTTATTGTGACCTAAATTCATATTTTTATGATTGTCAGGGATTCATATGCTTATTACCCACGTAAATTTTCTATAACTGTCTTTCTCAGCCCATTGGGCTGCTTGCCTTTCTAATTGATTTGTAGAAATTCTTTACTTTTTTCTAGATAGAAATAACTCGTTAGTTTGGATATTGTTAATATCCTACCCTTTAACTTTGCTTATGGTACATTTGCTGTGAGCTTAAATTTTTTTTTTACCCCCCACAGCTTAAATTTTAATAGTCAAATATGTCAACCTTTTGTGTGCTTTTTGTGTCTTCTATAAGAAATCCTTCCGTACTACAAGTTCATAAAAAATGTTGCTTACATTTTCTTCTAAACATTTCTTACATTGTACTTTTCACATTTGGGTTTTTATTCTGCTTGGAATTTTGGGTTTGAAAGGTATGAGGTAGGAACCCACTTTAATTTTTTTCCATAAAGAGTCAACCTATCACCACTTGCTACCTGCCCTTTCCCCACTGGTTTGTGACGCTATCTTAACTGTATAGCAGGTTTTATCTGTGTGTGAATTTGTTTCTGAGGACTCTATTTTTGTTTCATTAGTCTGTTTACTCTTAATCATTAGTTTTACAAGTTTCTTTATCTGGTAAAGTGAGCCTGCTTACACTTTTCTTCTGCAACATTTTTATGACTAATCTTTATCTTTTCCTTTTCCATAAAAATACCGGAATCATTTTGAAGGGTCCACAAAAATTGAGCTTTGATTGGAGGTGAATTTACTGATTAACTTAGGGAGAAGAGACATATGTAGACATTATACCTTTCCATCTACGAATAATATCTATTTCTCTATTTAGTGAAGCTTTTAAAAAAAATTCTTAAAAAAATTCTTTGTAAGAAGAAAAAAAGAAAAAAAAAGAAAAAAGAGAAAAAAAATGCTTTGTAATTTCCCGCATTGTCTCCCCCAGACCCCTCACCCTCAAAATTTATTGTAGCTTGCTATGGTGGGTGGGGCATTTTATTGCAATCTTTCACTGATATATAGGAATGCTGTAGTTGTATATTGTTCTTGGATCCAGAACAGTTCAAAAAAATGTGCCTTCCTTGGAGTTGTACATAGACAATATTATCTTGTTAGGAAATAAGATTAGTTTCATTTCTTTCATTTAACTTTCATAATGCAGATCTCTTCCTTTCCCACTTTTGGATGACTTCTGCATATTTAATTTTAAACAATGCTTTTTCTTCATCTACTGAGTTGTAAGCATAAATCTTTTCCTTTAACCAATTAGTAAGAGGTACCATAGAAACAGACTTCCACATGCTTGCCATCACTGCAATCCTGAGACAAACCCGATCAGTACTTTTTTGGTTTGTTTGTGAGCAACTGCTGTATTATGTCTTGTTTAGGATTTTTAGCAACTATGTTCGTAAGTGAAATAATCTATAATTTCCATTTATACTGTCATTGGCCAGGCTTGAGATCAAATTAATATCACAGTTGTAAGATGTGTTGGGATACTTTTTTTTAAAACTACAAGTTTTTATCGTACAGGAATTATGTATTCCATGAAGGCTTGGTAAGTCTGGTATCACTTGTGAGGAGAAGACTTATGATTATCAACTCAATACCTTTAATGGTTATTGGTTTATTCTGACTTTTTATTCTCTTTTGAGTCAATACTGATAATGTATTTTTCTAAAATGTAACTCTTTTCTTCTATGCTTTCAAATATTTTGTCATAAAGTTGGTCATCCTGTGTTTGGGTCACTTTCAAAGCCTTCTGTTGGTACTACTATGATTTCTTCATTTTGGTCATCAGTATACAAGAAAAACTAAGTCATCATTTGTCATCTGGGTCCAAGGGATCCTTTTAATTTTTAAAAGCACTTACAGTTCAGCAAAAATGTAGAGAACAGAGATAGTTAGAAACAACTTTATTATACATCTTAGTTAAAACTGTAAACATAGGAAACCCCAATTTTTATTCAGTTTTTTGTGGTTTTGAAGGTATTTAATATGCAAGATGGTAGCATCCCTCTAACATAAATAGGTGCTCATCACCTGTCATGATCCTGGACTATATTCACCTTATGAATTTTGACTCCAGAGTTTAAATACATCTCTAATGGGCTCTATTATTGCTTCTTGTTTTTTTTTTTTGGCACTTGCATCTTCAAAATGCAATACATTTAAGAATTTTGATGTCATATTTTTGAAGAAAGGATGGTCATCTTTTGCTTTGTAACTGCAAAGCACTTTCATCTTCAGATTTATAACACCAGTTAGAATGGTAAATCCAACTGATTCTTCCCTGAAATCATCTATTTCCCTACAATAAATTCTGAATATACACTGTCTTTAGTATTTGTCTATTTACAATTCTGATTGGCAAACATGAAGGATGTACTGTGTGATGAAGTCTTTCCTTTTGGATGACTGACTAATTGAGAATATCATACTTCTTTTGTTCTTAGAAATATATTGTTCACTCACTGATTCTTGAGTTTGAGAAAATTTTTCTAAAATATTGTCACTTGAAAATTTATAATCTGAGAGTTTTCTTATAAGAGTCCAGATTGCTGATTTCTTTAATAACCATGAGACATGTTAATTTTCTTTTCTTCGCCATTATGGATGAAAAAAGAAACATGCCAATTCCTAACTGTGCCCAAATGAAAGCTTAAAAGCCGTTTACACAGATTGTGTCTCTAGACTTCTTTTATACTTTCTTGAAAGATGATGCAGGATTTAGGGCAATGCAGTAAGAAACCAGAATGATGATGCAAGCGATGATTTATTTCACTGTGAATTTCAATCTTTTTATTGCTGTTTGTTTTACTTGTGTCTTTTCTAACCAGCAAGTGATTGATTCCATCCATCTAATCAATCTGCTTTTGAAAAGATTTTACTTTTTAAAGATTCACTGTTATTACTGAAATATTTGGATTTACTACTGTCATTTTTTTTTTAACTTCTTTTCCTCCTTTTCTGACTTCTCTTGGATTTATAGTTTATTATATTCCTCTTTCTCCCTCCTCTGATGGTTTCAGAGCTTTAGAAATATTGGTTATATATTCTCTAAAGTAATCTTGAAAAGTGATGTACCTTTTTATACATTTTTAAGTCAACATAAAAACACTTTAATCGTAAGTTTCAAAAATCGCAAAGGAAGTAATTTCTGTAACACTGATGTTTTAAGCTAAATTCATTGCATTATTAGGTATCCGACTAAATCTAAATATCACAAGCAAACTGCCACCTAAAAACAATCCTTAATATAAGGAAATTTTATACTATTGTATTCCCAACTCATTTCCATTTTACTTTACATAATTTTTATCTCATTATAATAAAGTGTAATGCTTGAAAGTCCTTTACTGCTATCCTGTCATACATGTTTCTCAAAAACGTATGGCAGATAAATTTACTGAAATTAAAAAATACTTTTGGAAATTAAAAAAAAATCTGTTTTCAATGACTATAAGCTTCCAAGTGTTGAAGACTGCTAACTGGATTATCATGACTATTTAAATGATAAAAACATAAATACTGCTAATAACTAGTGTGAGACATTAATTTTACTACTCTGTAGACATAAATGCTAAGAAAACTCATTTACACATTTAAGTGAAACAGGGTAGAATTTTGTCATAGTAATGCCACTTAATTCTTGAACACCTTTTAAGTTATATGCCAAAATAATAAACTGGTCTATTATCAAATTATTTTTAATAATACTTAATTGACAATGTAAGCTTTCTTCAATTTTGTTGAAAGCAAAGAATTGAAAAAAAAATCACCCTCTTTGAAGACCTTATCTTTCAGCCATTTTCTTTCTCAATTCCTTGGAAAATTAACCAAAAAGACTTTACTAAGACTAATCTACTTCACTGAGAGTAATCTTGCTTCTTCTAGAGCCTAAAATCAAGACAAATCTGTCTAAAAGCACCCCCATGAAATTGGAAACTGCACATATTTCTTGAAGATAACTATACATAGATTAGAAGTTTTATTTTCTTTGAAAAATGATTATGATTTTTATAGAATTAAAACACAATACAAACATCTGAGAAAGAAGAATTAAAGCTGGTTTTCTGGAGTTAAATGCAATGTCCCAGACTACGTTTTATGGACATTTACATCTGTACCTACACGTAAATATATGTTCTGCTTTTAAGAGTACTGTTTATGGTTTTCATCAAACGAAGATGCACATTTGAATATTTCTGAAAGGATGCATCTTATAATCGATGGCATATTATAGTTCAATTGGCAGTGTTTTTACTAAGTGGTATATAATGGATTACATATAATCATATAATAATAGTAGACTAGATGAAAAATTAGGTCAGACTATGGAAATCAAGAGCAAAAAAGATGTTGGGTCACTTAAACTCACGCTTATACAAGGTATACTGATGATTATCCTGTGTTTTATTTACGGTAAAATCCACAAAACATTTCTGTTGATTTATACCTAAAAACATAGTAGGAATGAAAAAAAGCAGAGAAATGGCTCAGATAATAAGCACGAGACTTGGACAAGGTAAAAAATTAATATGAATTTCCAGAATCTACTAATGAACTGGCAAAGGATAATAAAAATGTTTTTCCTAAGAACCTTAAAAATGCTCTAGAAAATATAAATACTATGAACTTACCTCTGGAACATGATCTTTTAACTTGAAGATGTAATGTTAATAGGTCAGAAAGAAACACGGAACTTTTAACTTCTTCCTCCTTGAAATCATGCAAATCATGCTACTGAGACAGGTTTGAGACATAGTCATCAGGCTCTTTATCATAATTGAAAATAAAGAAAAGACAGTTTGTCTGACAGCAGCTTCACCAAAACCCATCATGCCTTTATACCAATCCTGAATATTCTAAGATAGATGAAGCAAGCATCTTTATCATTTGCCTAAAAATAAGGTGCTTTTCCCCTCATGTTATGTTCATGCTCTTTGCTTTACTGTCACATGAGTCACCTACAGGAAAAATGGGTTTTTTAAGTAGTCAAGAGCCAAGAAAGGCAAGGTCATTAAACCAAAACTGTCATCACTCTATCTCCCTATTTGACAACACATCTGAGTTCTGATCATCTTCACATGGGCCAGCCAGCCTGGATCATTTCTAAGACCACACTCATAATGAAAATACATTAACTTCTACCATAATTCCTTGGGCAGTCAGAAAGGTCTGCCTGGGTTCAAAGGGTAGGGACATAACCCTATATCTTGATGAGGTAGAGGCAAAGTTCTGGAAGAGTATGAGGGATCTGAAATACTGCTGCTGTCATTTTTGAAAAATGAACCTGCCATAGGTTTCTTTCATCAAGTGTGAGAAGGGTAATTAGGAAAAGGCAGAAGGGGGAATAAAGAACTGGCACAATCCATTGATCATGGAAGTATTCATTAGGCAGATCAGTTTCAACAATGAGTACATACAGGATTTGAGGATCTGGATCTGGATCTCCTTAAAGCTATCTTTGCCTTTATAGTTAAATATTCCCAGAAGTATACACACCATTGTCTGAAGACCCAGCTATAGACTATACTTCCACTCTTCAGTTATATGAATATTTAAGATGCATACTTAACTATAAATTTCCCTAACAAAGTTATTTAGCATTTCTATGGAGGTAAAAATGTATATTCTGGAACACTTAAAAAAATCATTTATCATTTAAAAGAATGATCAATTCCTTTCACTCAGCTAAACTAAAATAGGCTAGTAATATAAACAAACCAAAATCAATCTTGAAAGAACTTTGATAACTATATACACTACCAACCAGAGCAATACAGCAATGTACCTTTCCTGAGGACAAAAAATGTTTCTCTTATGAAAATCTGAAAAGGTCAGACTTCTGGAAGATGTTGGTAACTTGGCAGAAAAGAAATTTTACATTTACTCGTTTAACATTACACTCAAGAAGTAGTAAAATAAAATGCATACAAACCATTAGAAGTTATAATTTGAATATCTTTCAAATATGAGTATGTTTGCATAAAATCCTTCTTGATTTCCTTTTATCTTTGCCAATAATCCAGTGATCTCTAATAGCTTAAAAAATGTTTCCAAATGCCATTTCCTAAAGATACTATTTCTTACCTATGAAGCTCAATAAAAGGTATACAAATGTATTCTACTTGCTCTAATTTTCATCATACATTATGACCTCTAATCATCTAGAAAGACAAGATGTTAGAAAATAGGGACATTCTCTTTAAAACATTGGGGGGAAAACTGATACCTTTATATATAGAAGATAAAGGCAGAACAATATAGTAGTTATAATCAGAATGTCTGCATTCATTCACCAAATATTTATTAAGCACCTATTTTCAGGCATCATTTTAAGAGCTGAGGATACAGGGGTGAGAAAGTAATAGCTACCATTTATTGAGTGCTTACTATGTGCCAGGCTGTGGCCTAAGTTTTCACACAGGTAAACCCATTTAATCCTCAAACACGACACCTCTATGACATGGGTACTATTAATTTCATTTTACGTATGATAAAATTGAGGCACAGAGAAGTTAAATAACTCACCTAGCTAGTAACCTCTAGTAGTCCAGGGACTCATGGAGCTCTTATAAAATCTAAAATCCTTCCCTTCTCATTTTCTTTTTTGTCTCTGTGAAAGATCTAACATACAAATAAAACTGGTTATGGCTCAAATAGGTGGTGTGATCGTTTCACTTTTACAGGTTTCTTTCTGGGAATGCTCAAACAAAACTTTAACTAGCTATACTTCCATCATATATAGTGACTCCAAAATATCTCAAACAGCCTGCCCGTTATGTAAGACTTGATTTTGTTTAAATAGTAGGGGGGGAAAAACCCACTTCTTTATATTTTTCTCCCCATTACAGTATGTATAGATACTTAGCATTCCTTCCTTTGGAAAACCTTTCTTTAATCCGGGTAGGCCTAGAGGGGCTGAAGATCACGGACCCTGCCTCATTTCAGGGGTGGGTCCATGTTCAAGCTAATGAGGCCTCACTGGCTTGATCACAGTTATTGGATCAGGACTACTGAAATATGATCTAAGCATGGCCAATCTGTCTTCACTGGGATTGACAGAGTTAGGAAATGTTGTCTTCACAATGGAAGTCATTTGAGACTCCTGGTAGCCATATTCCTGGGCCTCAAGAGAAAGTGACTTCACAGTACTGAGATGTGTGTAGAGAAATTCAGAGGCAGAATATTTTGATCTAGTTATGAAAGAAATAGGTCTACCTTTGCCCTTTCCAGTTAAATGAGTATAAAGGGTATAAGTACTTTTTAATTTAAGCTTAAGTGGGTTCCTGTAACTTTCAATCAAGTTTTAAATACATTTTTACAAAAGCATTACATAAAGTATGCACGCAGAACAATGGTTATAATATGAATAGGAATCTCCTTTATTCTCTTCCTTTACCCCCTCTCTAACAAATGTAGAACTGTCTACAGCACAACGGATAGTCTATTTCACTTCAAAAGTAGTATGTAAAATATATACTTATGAATTCTAAGTGATTACAAAGCATTACTTTAGTAATTCTTCGTTAGCATATGACAAAATCACAATATAGCTAGAAAAACAGAATGTTTTATTTTAAAATACTGGAAAAACATTAAAAGACAAATGTCCATTATATAACCAAGAATGTTAAGTATTTGGAAACTGTCAATCTTCTAAAATGTGGTAGGCACTTCCAGAGAGCTAAATATTGCAAATTATCCTACCAAATGTCTTCTCTAATACCAAAAATACTTGATATGATGAAAGACACAACTAATTATCCAAAGTCACCATGTTAGGGTTCAACTTAATTACAAGCAAAAGTTTTGTCCAAGATGTTCCTGACACATGAAGCTTCCAGTTGAATTTCAGAAATGTTAACAAAAGTATCTTCCTTTTTTGCCTGTGAATGTTTGAGTATTGCTGTATTGTTGGCTTATATCCACTACAGATACTGGTTCTAGGCCAGCCCAAGGGTCTTCAAGCATTGAAGGCTTGAAATAACTTTCCAACTCATTAGACATTCTCTTTTCTCTACCACGCCCTGATCCAAATGGTGTAGATGTCCTTGGAGAACCCTTTAGAAAAAAAATCATCAGTTAAAAAGACATTTAGTTAAGTGGTACTTTTTCTTTAGAGGCTAGTGGGGAACACATTGCTAACTATAAGTTGTGTCTTGAACCCAAATAAGTTCAACAGCAAAGTCCACGCTTCCTTTGATCTAGTGTTTTTAAAAGTATTTCAACCCATTTGATATACTGATTTATTAATAATTCTATATCCACTGTCACCTCAAATATTTTAGGGCTTCTAATGTAATAACTCTGCAGAACTATAAATTGGTGATGAAATAATCAATTAATTGTATTATAGTCATCCCTCAATATTTCCCTATTTTTTTCTGGAGGCAAAGTAAAAAAATTTTTTTTTACCCTACAGCTTCAAAATTGTTAGAACCTTCCCATCTCATTAGCTCCTGACTCAAAGGGGTGGGCTTGATTTAGCATAAGGAAAGCTGGACAACTGCCAAGCACATTTAAGTTGTAAACCACAGAAATCCTAGACCCATCAGAAATACTCTATCGTCTCCTGTATTCACTCTCACCAAGAGGAATTTCCTATCACCGATTTTCCCTTGAGAGACTAGGAGCAGAAGCCAGTGTAGTTGGAAAACAATCCACCCCACCCCTCCTCCCTCCCGCCAAAATTAAAGAAAAGAAAAAGAAAAAGAAAAAAAAAAGTGTCAGCAGTAGGAAGATGGCACTAGCCTATAACCCTAGAGATGAACTCTATGCTGGAGATTCATTCTTTTCCCTTTGGAGACCAGGAGACTCAAGAATCATTTACTGCGACGAAATAGCCAGGTCCCTGACGAAGCAGAGGAGATTCGGGAAATCTGCATGAGTAGCAGTGTACTGGTTAAAAGCAAGAGGATTCTGGAAACAAAGTACGACCCTGCCACTTTTTAGAGTATTCTAAAGAAAGTTACTCAACTTCTCTGAGCCTCAGTTTACTCATCTGCAAAAACGGGACTAACAGTAGCATCTCACCTCATAGAGGATTCAGAATAATCCACGTAAAGGGATTATTAGTACCATGCCTGCCATACAGTAAGAGCTCGGCAAACGCTGACTATTATTACCTGGGGGTGGGTCTGCTGCTGCCCTGGGGAGTAGCCGAATTGCTGCTGGGACCCCGCGGGGGACCTGGAGTAGTTGCCAGGGTAGCCGCCAGGGGATGGGGACCCGAACCGGCCCCCGGGGAAGCTGCCGCCGTGTCGCGGAGAGTGGCTGCTCCCGTAGGGCCTAGACCGGGGCCCGTATGGCGGCGTGTGATGTGGACTCCCGTACCCGTCCCGCGGCGATGGCGGCCGTGGTCCGCCTCCGCCCGGGGTTCCTCGGAAGCTGCTCCCGCTACCCCAACCTCCTACTCCCGGGCCGGGGTAAGGAGGAGTCGGGGGTCGAAAATTCTGTCGGTGCATCTCAAGAGACGAAGACAACCTCACTGGCGCGTTCTCCCGCCGGAACTGTCCCGACCAAATCTTCTCATATCCTTGGTGGTCCTTCATCAAAACAGTCCTCCGGCCGCCAGCATAACAGAGCACATCGGTTCCGGCGTCACAAAGGTTCCGCTGGAGCAGCGGGATATCTGGGTTATCGAATTGGGTACAGATTAAGCTGATTTAAATGAAAGAAGGAGGAAGAAAAAAGGATTAAAAAAAAGGCCGAACACCAAGCCCCAGAAATGGCCTTTGGAGTCTCGCAGTCTTCGGCTGGGACCGACTGACCGACTAGACGCCTGCCGGGCGGAAGAAGGGAGCCAGTACAGCTCGCCCCGGCCGGCCCGGGCCCGCCCACCTGGCTGGGGGCGGGGCCGAGGTGTCCGCGAGCGCCCTCAGTGGCTGAGGCCCGTAATGCGCTGCCTTCTTCACTCAAGCGGGGACCGAGGACGTCTGAGGGGCGCGCGATGCTGGCGACGCTGGCGAAGGTCGCGGCTCTGCGGAGAACCGGCCTTGTCTCCCGCCTGGGCGGCGGGAGGGGGTTGTGGACCGGCCGCCCGCAGTCAGGTACCCTCCGAGATTCGGTCCGGGCGGCGAAAGGTAGCGCAGCCCGGCCTCCCCACTCGGGCGGCATTCTGAGGAGAGCGCCCGCGCTTTCCAGAAGTATCTGCTGCCCCTTTGTGGTATCAGCCCGCCCTTTGGCCTTTCGCGTCTCCCCGCGTCCTCGCTCCGCGCTCGCCCCCTCGTCACCCGTCCGGGCCCCGGGCCGACAGCGCGACGCTGCGGGTCCAGCCCCCCGCCGTCCTCCTGGGCGGTCTCCTCGCCTCGCTGCCTCACTCCACTGGCCTCGTCTCCCAAGTTAAATAACTTAAAAAATGTGCATCCCGCCGCATATCGGAAAGGGTTTCAGGCTGCGTCTTTAAGTAACTTGAGGGTGAGGCTGTGCTCACAAACGCCGGACCTTGCTCCCTTCCTCATTCCTGTTAACTGGACGCCGGCAAGGGAAGTGGTTAGGAAGTCGGGATCCTGATTTTCAAAAAGAGCAACATTTGGCCAGAGCTCTTAAAATAATGATTCTTTCACAGACTTTTAGGTGAAAAATGTGATAATTCAAGAATGACCCCTCATGTATAATAAAACACACCTTTGTACCGGACACCTCTCCCAGAATTTTGTTTAGAAGATAGAATTTACACTGACTGCAGCTTTATAGAAATTTTTTTATCCCCTCAGAATTTGGGAATGATAGTCCACAGTGAGTCTTGAAGTGAGCTTGTAGGAAACAGAATCTTAAACTTTTAGGACCCATTTAATCATAGCCCAGTGGGTAGCCCGGAGCTGTGCTTTTCAGCCTATACACATTCTTGCAGCTGCCACTCATTGTCTCCGTGACATGTTCTGTGACATGGGTAGCTAAAGAATGTGCTGTTTTCTCAGCTTTTATCCTTGATGAATGGAGATACAGAGTTTTTTGTGGTTTATTCTGAAGGAATTTTGTTCACCACATTTCTCCTTTACACACAAGTTGTAGAATCCATCAAGGCAGCATAATGCCATCAAGGCTTTGTGATGCAATTAAGTCTGAGAATCCCAGATTATCCACTTTATTATATACTTCTGTTCTGGCCAAAAAAAGCACCTTTCTGGACCTTGTCTTTGGTCGCTTAGCTTAATGCCTCGTAATTTGGCTCCCAAATATTTACTGAATAAATGAGTGGGTCACATTATATTGGTCAGTGATTCTCACCTGTAATACCACCTTTTGTATTGTCAACCAATCTTCATTTTGGAGGAGGGAGCATAAAAATGAGGGTGGCAGGAACCAAAATTACATTTGTTAACTTTTTGTTATTGTTTTAGTAACTGGCAAATGATTTGCAGAATTGAGTGAAGTACTGAGTTGCCTTTTTACTTGGCTTACACTTCTAAAATGCTCTTCCCAAAAGTAATGTCTTACTATCTTCTATGCACACGAACTTGCATTAGAAATGCGGGGAGGAAGAGGAATACAATGGAAAACTTTTCACAGGTAGATTATGCATGACAGTGTGCTCTTTATCGTATTTTCAGGTATATATGAGGATTAAGGGAGAGGACATTCTTAATAATTATATGAACATTCCACCTTGATCACTTCTGACAATAGGCAGTTTGCCTTTTTACAGGTGAGAAATTGTCCAAGAGAAGTGAAGTTTGACTTGCTTAAATTCACATAGCAAATGGAGGAGGGACCAGAACTCAGGCTTCTTGAATCCCAGGCAGTTGTCTTTTTTTCCTGGGTAAAGAGATATGAATTGACAGTCAGTCTGTCCTTTGAAAAATGCAATGACATGTAAATAAGCATAAGTAAGCACGTATAATTCTGATGGTGGTACTGTGCAGCATAGTGTTTTAGATTTAAGGATTTGGAGATGCAACCTTAATACTGAACTTTTGAAAATATAGCTAGACTCTTCCCAGGTGTGAACCTGGGAATTGCAGTCTGGCTGCCTGAACTGGTGGGTCTGAGGTCTCCAGGCACGTATTTGTATTGAATTAATTTATATGGTGGTAAATTGAGGGGAAGAGAGATGAAGGGAAGGGGAGGAAGTTTTACGTTGGGTTATGTGGAAGTAGAAAAGCGAATGAAAATGATGGACAGGAGAGCATGGTGGCTGCGTCATGAACTAAATCTGAGTCCTGTGGGAAGTAACACAGGCGTTGCTCCTGTAAGAGAACTGCAGCACTGTTCAGGGAGGGCCAGCATTAGGAAACAGGGTCCTGAATGGGACACTGCTTTTACTGAAGACACTGGTAGTGGCTGGGTGCTGTTTTCAAGTGTACACAGAGGACATCAGTCAAAACATCAGGGAACTTTCTGAGTACCCATGAGCTGTATGGGAAGCCCCGGAAATAACTGGTTAACTTTGTGGTAGTTTACGTTTTACAAGTTTTACATTAATGCAAGTAAGAGTACCTAGCCAAGGAAATTTAAGTGTGAACGTAAATGAGGCCTTGTCTGTTTCTATTAACACTGAAGATCTTTATTTGGGTTACCTAAGATTTTTTTGCTGTTTCTATTTTCAGTAGATTAAAAAAATTTTTTTTTCGCAGAACCTTTATGAGAGCAGATGGGTTTGTGTTTGAAGCAGGAATTGGGGTCCCCAGAGATGCCCACTTTGTACCCCTACTTCATCTGCCTCCCTTATAAGACGCTTCTGGGCACCTTTGAGGAATTCTTAGAGCTCTGCAGAAAGAGCTTGAAAGGGAGTATTTTGGGTGGGTGTCGGGTATTAATGAAAGCTGCAAATGTAAATACTTTGGTTTGTTTTATTACTTATTACCAGGAGGTGAATATTTTCATGTTTCTGCATGGTCAGGGCTTTTGAAGCCAAGGAAGCTAGAACCTGGGTTAAAGGGCAGGCCTTGGAAGTTAAAAGATGACTGAACTGATTGTTAGACGACTCCCAGAAAATCTGTTTATGTTTCAAAGGGGTATAAAACTCGGAACCCTGGAGACATTCCCAAGACTGAGATTGTGAACCCAGGGAAGTTTATCTTTTCCCCTGGAGACGTTTATTTACATTCCAAAGGATAAGAACTCAGGGACCATCTCCTTTTCTTCCCAGGAAGAATTTGCCTACATTAGGGTGATTAGCTTTCTCTGCTCTTCTCAGGGGAGGGAGGCTGCTGGGCAGCTATCCCATACAAACTCCCAGATTTGTAATTTTGGGGACCTTTCCTGTGGTTGAGTCCCTGTATGTGCAGGCTAATCCACTCGCTCTCATTATGACACCTGTGGCATATTAGGTGTGGGGAAAATGGTGCATTTCTTGATGTGGGTAATAATAACTCTGATCTCTGCCTCAGAAACCTCGTGTTTACTTTCAGCTGAAAAATGAATATAGGTCTGAAAAGCATATATTTTTGATGTAAAGCACTTCTTAGGACAGGAGAAAGTATTTCATAGCTTCTGTGCATGGAGATGTTTGTGTAGTCATCCCTCAGTGTCTGTAGGGATTGGTTTCAGGACACCCCTTGGGTACCAAAATCTGAAGATGGCTCAGGTAACTTACTATATGAAATGGTGTAGTATTTGCATATAGCACACATCCTGTGTATACTTTGAATCATCTCTATATCACATAATTCCTAATACAATGTAAATGATATGTAAATAGTTGTAAATACAATGTAACTGCTATGCGAATGATTACAGGAGGTGTGGTGTATTCAAGTTTTGCCTTTTGGAATTTTCTGGAATTTTTTTCCCCCAAATATTTTTGATCCCCTATTGGTTGAATATGCAGTTGGGAAACCCACAGATACGGAGGACCTATGTATGTATACTTAGAGCATAAGATTTACCTTAATATTTCCTGAAACTTTTCATGTCACAGCTCAATTTTCCATTTAGAGATCCTATTGTTAACTGTTCCATGTTAAAGACTGTCAATAGTAAAAAAATAAATGCATCCTTAGGGTGTGATTAGCTCATTCATTGGTTGGACACTGTGGGTCGCTTAATTATCACTTACGCAGTGTTCTCATTGATAAAGCAGGTATTAGAAGCGACTTGTTTTTGTCTCTGAGAGCCAAACTGCTGTTACTGATTGTCTTTTTAAATCTAAGCATATATCCATTGCCCACAGTAGTCAAGCACAGGTGAAATGTTTTATATATATTTATTTCTGTCAGACTAGTATTCTTCACCCATGTGTAATCCAAGTGTTAATGCATTAACTCACACTTATAAAAGTTTTCACTGAAAATAATAAAATTGCTGACAGAATACTTCGACATGAAGAAAAGTGTAAGTCTGATTATTCTTTTCCAGACACAAATTTTTGTTTTAAAATGAGTAAATAAAATGTTAATGTCACTAGAATTTGTATCTTTGTATTTTTCCAATTATAAAAACAACACATCCTTTTCTAGAAAACCTGAAATGTTTAGGAAAATAAAAAGCAAGAAAAAATGTTAATCTCTTTTCTAAGAAGCAACTACTTAATGTTTCTATAGAAAAATAAACCTCAGATACTTTAAATTTTTAAATAGAAAAATATAAAATTTTAAAAGGGAAAACCAACTATACAGGAGTATTTATATAATGTGGGGTTGGAAAAAAATGATACCTGTGCTGGAAAGAGTTAACATAGCAGGCCTCAGGGTGCTATCTTTAGGAGGACCGCCTTACAAGTTTGGCCCTTGTTTGGCATTTGGGAACTTGGCACTCAAACTGCTTCCTAATTAATAAGGGTGCCTACATGGTTTGTGCAATCAGTGTGATCTATGGGAGCACCT